ATTTTGACCAAATTAAGTGACCGAAAGGGCGGAGTTGGCTCATCATACAAATGCATATATTTTCATTAATACTCAACATGAAACGTTTTGATTCTTTCAAAAAAATGAGGAGAATTTCATGAAAATGCATTATTTTGTATTATCAATCTTCATAATTTACGCTCAATTATAGGTTCTGCTCATTGTTCATGCATGTGATGGATACGTTCGGATGTCAGTGTTCAGAAATGGAAAGCTGTTAAAACGAAGCGAACCATTCTCTGGATTTAGAAGGTTAGTCTTTCAGAAATCACAAAGAAAAAAATTCCCAAGTGCCCAAAAATATCTCAAGGTAAACAGAGTCTAACACTCCTTCATAAAAATACAGTTTCGCTTCCACAGAATGTGACAGGGTATTTTTAAGACATCATTTCAAGAGCATAACGTAAAAATTATCTTACTAAGCTGGTGTGAAACTTAATCATGGAATTTTGATGTACTTAGCCCCATTTTTGTAAATTTAAAATTAATAAATGTGATTTTTGAAGATTATTGAGGTCTAAAAATGCTAAATATTTTACATCGACCAACATTAGTTGATTATTGTAATTTACATACATATTATATAATATTTCACAATAAGTGTTTCTCCGTAATGTCTGATTCGATGGAAAGCCAAGATCACTCTTACTCGTTATTTTGTAAGCTGTGGTTTTTTAACCTGACTTGTAAAGTATCTTTGAATAAATTAGTACTCTCTGATACTCTTTAAGCCAAATGTGGTAGGTTGAAGCACTCATTTCTTCTCCTGCCTGGCAACCACAACCCATTAAAATTTTATGTTTTTATTTGCAGCACAGCTAACAAAAGTGCTTGCAGATTCCTGGTAGTAAACGTGCACTCTGGCCAGCTTCGATTCCAAATTGCCAATGACGATGCCAAGGCTAAAAATGTCCATCTATGGGCAAGCACACAATCCGAGAAGTCGCCATATCCAAAATTGCCCGAGGATACGAGGTGAATTTTGCGCTTACGTTTGCAAAAGAGCTAATGTTGGCAATATTTCATGGGTCATAGGGCCGTTTAACGAACCCGAAAATTTATGGGGATCTTGTGAAGCCGTTATTACGTTTGTCCGAGCTGCCAGACACACACACAAGTGCAATTCGTGTGGAAAGATACGTGCAGATAAGAGTGAGCCCCAGGGGGATTGGGCTCCAGGGCGATTCTAGCATCCCTCAATGATGAAAAGGTGTTTTGTATCAAGTCGCTGACTCAGACACTCAATTCGTTGGGACTTCCGCAGGGCAACAGGATTTGCAGAGGTTCCGCAGCACCTTTGCAGGATTTCCGCCGGTGCAAGAAGTGCTGCGGAAGCTCCGGTCAGTTTTTTGGATATGATAGGTGTTTACACCTATCATATCCAAAAAATACAGATAACTGTTTTGTCACAATTTCGCCCCTCGGAAGTACTAAAATATGTCCGAAAATATGTTGCGCTGTTTCAAAACATATGTCCTGAGCATCAGAGGCAGAGTTTACGTCTCTCCGACGGCAGCGATTATGATTGATGGCATAATTATGCGCACAAGCAGACACCACGAGCGGAAACAACTTTGCTACGATTATTGTCTCGGACTTAGGGGAGGGATTTGAGACTTTGGGGAAGTGAAACAAAACTAAAAATTAATCTTTGTCTAGAAATTTGAAATTAATTTTTTTAGCGTGAAGGCAGTTCGTCGTACTTGTTCCACGGCAACATTGCAATGGCTGCGGTCTGCTGATGAACATGCTCGATACTGCATTTATATGCGTCAGGAAAAGGCTAATTATTTGGAGGAGCTGGTTAGTAAGGTGAGTCATGAAGTTTTTCAAAGTTATTTTGAAAAGTGAGCGAAGTCTGGGTATGAAGTTGAACACATACAACGCGAAAATTGTCTTCTAATGAATCAAGTATATTTATTGTCTTTCATTATAAAAGTCAATTTGAGTGAATTCAATATTTTTGCAATCTGCATCGAAATAGGTTAATGGCAGTAGAGTCACCACCAAAAAAGAAAAAGTTGTGAATTTTTGTGCAAAGGTGACGTGAGAACGAAGAAAGACGTTTAAAAAAAAGGTCTTGCAGTTTTTGACTTAAGATTGCACGACTCAAAAAATAGTGAGATTACACAATTCGACTGCTATTCTAGAATAAAGGCTGCTAACCTATTTCTACCCTTAGATTTTGATCGCACAGGAGCAGAATATGCAATTTTTTCCTCCCTCTTCTTTTTCATTTGAAAATCAGATAAAAGCAAATAAAGCAAATATCAGATAAAAGCAAATAAATCAGATTTTGAATGTGTGGAATCCAACCTGAGAAGTAAAGTCATATTACTGTTTCATGCGAGTTTGTAAAACTTTAATCAATCATCGATTACTCGTATGCTCGGATTAGAGAGCTACTTTTGCTATGTGATTAGTTATACAGAAAAACCGAATTTTTTGCGGGGTGTGTACAATCAGAAGACTTTTGCTAGAACAAAGCCCCAGACAGCACTTGATTTGGTTTATTCGTGGCTGCGAAACGTAGCCCAGACCGTAGGAAACACCTTCGATTACGGTAGAAAACACTGTGTGGGCTAGAGTTTAGAGTTGAAGCGTTC